ACACCATCGACCCCCTTCTGCATGTTTTGTGTCCCCCTTCCTCTACCATTGTCATCATTTGTTACCCCTTCAAAACAGGGAAATTTGTTGGGACTCCGTCGGTGCGGCGACCTCGGTGGGTAAACCTCCTACGTCGATGTAGAGGCAACAGTGCATGCCGGAAAACTCTCCAGCCGAGATGTCAAACCTACTCCCCCTACCTCTCTCGTCGCCAGTACCTCAGACTTGCTAACCCTTCCTCGCATTTGGGAAATCTCCAAGGGAACCAAATCTCCTCCTCCGTAGGCTCGAATTCGGTAAGTTTTTTCCAAAACCTTATGTTCAGTTGATGGAAAATATTTCTGGTGATTTCGGTTTCTAGATCCAATTCTGAGCACTAGTATTGGTGAATTCACATGTTCTTCTTCTGGGAAAAAAAAATTGGCATTTGTAGTGAATTTTTTTGGTGATTTCTGCCTGTAGACTTCATCGGATCACTTGTATTTTGGAACTCCTTTTTGTTAGTTTCTGTGGAAAAAAACCAGAAATTATTTCTAGATGGCATCTCGGTGAAAGCCTATGTTCGTATTATGGAAAAAAACTTGGCATTTCTGGTGATTTTTTCATGCGCTTTCAACCTCTATACTTCATCAGGGCACTAGTATGTTGGAACCCCTTTTTGTTAGTTTCTGGAAAAAAAACCATAAACTGTTTCTAGTGATTTCTCTTCTAGATTGCATTCTGAGAACAGTTTCTAGATGGCATTTTTGCCTATGTTCGTATTGTGGGAAAAAAAATATTTGTTGTTCTGGTGATTTTTTTGGTGCTTTCAGCCTCTATACTTCATCGGGCACTAGTATGTTGGAACCCCTTTTTGTTAGTTTTTGGAAAAAAAACCAGAAACTGTTTCTGGTGCTTTCTCTTCTAGATTGCATTCTAAGAACAGTTTCTAGATGGCATTTTTGCCTAGGTTCGTATTGTGAAAAAAAAAAAATAGTTGTTGTTCTGGTGATTTTTTTGGTGCTTTCAGCCTCTATACTTCATCGGGGCACTAGTATGTTGGAACCCCTTTTTGTTCAGTTTCTGGAAAAAAAA